AATATTATATAAGTGACTAAACTATAAAGTATAAACCCTTAAAAAAATAATTAATATATCATTTCGTGCATAAACAGCACAAGTCGATGGTAAGTTTTATATTAACTTGTGATATTCTTGACGTATTTTAATAATTTATATTAAATAGTTTATATTATAAATAAAAAAGACTGAAGGGAATCAAAAAGTGATAGTTAGACTGAATTATTTTAAAATTAGAAAATATTACCGCACTTTAAGACTGGTATGCGATATTTCATATTCTCAGTACCTTTCACAGCACACTTCCTCTTTATATTAAAACAATTTTTGTGTTGTTTTATACTTTTATTTTATTGTTATTAAATTTGAAAGCAGCATATGTCGGGAATTTTTGACGCAAAGTGAGGAAACTTCTCATTGCGCGACTAACCGCGTATAATTGATTTCATTTGTCAATAATTTTATATTTAAATAATAATTTTAAAAAATGGAAGTAAATTTTACTGCCAATAGGTTGTTTAGAAATTCTAATGAACATTCCAAAACAATTTTGTTGCGTTTCATAACAATTTTGCACTAATTTATGTATGTGAGAAGTTTGCTCATTTGCGACGGATCGCGATACAAAAAAAGATGCGACGCATGGAAGGTTAATCCTTTTTTATGTTAATTTAATCTGCAACGCTTTTTAAGGGGACATTCCAGTTAAAAATGGCAAAAAAATCGATTTTATTTGTTTTTTGGATTTCTTATAGTGTCAAGAATACTCTCCTAAAATATTATTGCAAAATTCGAAGTAAAACAAAAGTTATACATCCATATTCTTCGCCATTTGTATGCGGATAAGCAATCAAATGATTTAAATGTTTTCTCATTAGCATTTAAAAAAAAAAAAAAAAAATGTATTTGGTGTTGCTGATCACAAATTAGATATCAAATTTTCAAAATTCAAAATGACGGATCCAATATGACGGAAAAGAAAATTTTTTTATTTCAATTTTTTTTTCGTCCACCATATTGCATCCGCCATTTTTAATTTTGAAAAAATGATGTCATTCGTAATCAGCAACCCCCAAAACCCCCCGTAACGATTTTCAAGCAAATCCAATGATTTTGAAAAAAAATGTCCGCCATATTGGATCCGCCATTTTGAATTTTTAAAATCTAATTCCATATTCGTAATTAGCGACCTCAAAAACCCCGGAGTAACGATTTTCAAGCAAATCCGATGTTTTTTTAACAAAAATTTCTAAACTTATGAACAAAAACTTTAAATGCGTTTTTCTCAAAATGTCTTTTTTTGATCTGGTAAGAGTGATATCTCGAGTTCTACTGAAGCGATTTTAAAAAATCAAACGTCTTTTCATTCAGCGTCATCATGCCTATAAGTGGAACCTCAAAAACTGGAAAATATCCAATTCCCCTTTTTTTATAAGAGAAATTCTGAATAAAAACACTTTTTTTTGTATATTTTGTGGAAAAAGTACTCTAAAAAAAAGGGGGGGAAGAAAATTTCACTTTTTTGAGGTTCCACCCCTAAAGAAAGATCTAACGAAGAGAATGTCACTTCGTTTTTGGTTTTGTCTATTTTAGAAAGTTTGTAATCGATCTTACCACCGAAAATGGGCATTTTCTAAAACGGCGTATATCGCCGCAATTTTGAAATAAAAATGAAAAAAAAATTTTTTTTACAAATTCTTACATAAATTATTTATTACATGTAAAAGATATTTTTTAAATGTCATAGTTATTTTAATAAAATATATTAAAAAAGCCTTCTTCTTGCCTGTTTCGAACTGAAATGTCCCCTTAATACTTAATAATTTACTGCGAACATAATTCACTTAACCTTCAGTTTTATTCTCACTTCACTTAATTTTAATTTCACTTTCACTTAAAAAGAAATGAAAGTGAAGTGAGAGTGAAAGTGAAGTGATAGTGGAAGTGAAGCAAAATTGAAGTAAGAATGTAATGAATGTGAGAATGAAGTAAGAGTGAAGTTAATTGAATATAAAGCGATAGTGAAGTGAGAGTGAAATAAAGTGCAAGTAGAAGCGAAATGAAAGTAAAGTAAAGTGCAAGTGACAGTTGAATTAAGAGTGAAGTAAAAGTGAGAGTGAAGTGAATTGAATGTAAAGCGGTAGTGAAGTGAGAGTGAAAGTAAATTGTAAGTGAAGTACGAGTGAAGTAATAGTGGAGTGAAAGTGAAGTGATGGTGGAAGGAAGTAGAAGTAGAAGCCAAATGTAAGTGAAGTGATAGTGTAAGTGAAGTTATAGTGAAGTAAAGTGATAGTGGAGCGGTATTTTAAATGAACTGAAAGTAAAGTAAAGTAAAGTAAAAGTGAAGTACAAGTGGAAATAAAGTGAAATTATTGGAGGCGAAGTTTAAATGAAGTAAAAGTGAAGAGATAGTGGAAGGAAGCGAAGTATAAGTGATGTTAAAGTGAAGTGCTGAATTGTATTTAAAAGATTTTCTAATGTTTCTATTAAAGTTTTGGAGAATTTTCACATGCATTGCAAATTTCATTTTTATAGCTCAATAGCTGATCGATTTGGAGTTTCGAAATCTACTGCTTGGCAATGCATGCTTGATGTTGCAACTTCTTTATGTGCTCGTGCACAAAATTTTATAAAATGGCCCACGGGAGAAGCGATTGCCAGAAACGAAGAAGAATTTCGAGAATTTGGAAGGCATCCTGGAATAATTGGAGTCGTCGATGGATGTCATGTACAAATCAGTGCACCGCACGAATATCCTGAAAGTTATTTTAATCGTAAAGGGTATTATTCGATAAATACTATGGCAATTTGCGACGCGCGCATGAATTTTATTTACATTTACGCTGCATGTTGTGGAAGTGTTCATGACGCCAGGGTTTGGGAAGTAAGCGATATTAATGAACAAATAAATGATAATTATGAAACTTACTTCCCAAATGAAACCCATATCTTGGGAGACTCTGCTTACGGCTTAAATACTTGTTTACTTACACCTTACCGCGATAATGGACATTTATTAGAAAGCCAAAGGTATTATAATAGAATTCACGCAAATTGTCGTCAGATTATCGAAAGAGCATTTGCTTTGTTAATTGGGCGTTTCCGACGATTAAAATATTTGTATATACAAAATGTAGAATATGCAGCCCTTATTATTTTAGCTTGTTGCTGCTTACATAATATATGTATCAGTTTAGATGATTTAATGGACATCGAAGACATATATCTTCCGCAACCAAATGATCATGAAATCTTTAACGATAATGAAAATCTCCTAAATGCTCATGCTAAGCGCGATATAATTGCAAATGTTTTGTTTGAAAATCGCAGAAGGGAATAATTATTAATCTTTTAACATTCATTTTAACTACAAAAAGTTAATCCTAATATTTAAAACAATTTAAGTTTATTTAATGACGAGTATTCTTTTAACGAAATTTTAAAGAAAATCTTAATAATCGTGATCCGGTAATCTGATCGCAGTTTGAAGTTAGTTGTACCTTGCTCTTTTTGTTTTCTACCTTTTTAATATTTATTTTTTAAAATATTATTAATATTAAAATTAATGTATTGAAAATCACAGAATTGTTGCAAAGAAATTTATCAAAGTATTAGATAATAAAAGAATTTTATTACTTAGGAAAATAATTGAATCCTCTCAAATAATTATGTTTAAAATGTTTAAAAATAATTTGCATTCTCGCAAGAAATTTTATTAAAATTGTTAAAAATTCTGATTTTTGATAAAATAAATTATAAATTCTTCTTGAAAAATTTCTTTGATTTCTTCTTTTTAATAATGGAGTTTCTTTAATAACTTTCAGTAAGAATGTTGAAAATAATTGAATTTTATAAATATTTATTCATAAAATTCAACTTGCAAATTTTTAAATAATCGTTTCTGTTAATAATTGCATTCTTTTGAGAATAACGAATTAAGAAAAATATAATAAATACAAGTAAATTCTTTCGAAAAATATTATTAAAAAATAATTGAATTCTTTCGTGGAATTTTTAAAAAATAATTGAGGGGCTGGATGCTATAAGGGGATACGCGCCATGTTAAGTGAATGGCGCGTATCCCCTAATAGCACCCAGCCCCTCAATTAAATTTTTGCAAAAAATTATTTTAATATATTTAAAAATGTAATTGAATTTTTTCAAAGAATTAATTAAAATTTTTAAAAAATAATTGAATTTTATTGAAAAATATTATTATAAATTAGAAATAAATTGAATTCTTTTATAAAATTGTCTTAAAAATAATTGAATTATTTCGAAAAATGTTAAAAATTAAATAGAAATTGAATTCTTTCATGTAGTTGTATTAAAATTGTCTTAAAAATTATTTTTAATTTTGCAAAAAACTTATAACGAATTATGAAAAGAATTAAATTCTGTTAAATTCGGTTGTAAAATATTTTTGAAAATAATTGGATTTTTGTAAAGATTTTACTATATATTTAAGAAAATAATAATATTCGTTCGAAAAATTTTATTAAAATTGTGTTGAAAAAAGAATTGAATTTTTGCAAAAAATGTTACTATTTAAAAAAATAATTGAATTCTTACATAGAATGTTATTATCTATATCTAGTAGTAATTGAATTCTTGGAAAGAATTTTATTAAAATTTTTGAAATTAATAAACAAGAATAATTATATAGTAAATTAGTTTAGGATTAATTTTTTTAAAGTTTGAATTTCAAATTATATAAAAATTCAAATTCGAAAATAAAAAATTTTGTAATTAAACTTAAAATTAAAAACCTTAAATATAAACCTTCAATAAACCTTTAATAAAACCTTTTTAAACCTTTAATAAAAAAAAATTTTGTAATTTGGATAATAATAATAATGGATTGAAGACTACGTTTATTGATTATATTCTTTTTATCTATTTATACTACTGAATAAAATAAAATACTGAAATAAACTAAATGAATATGGGAATCGTAAAAAAGTAATATTTATTTCTATGATAATTTTCTAAAAATATTTAACAAAGTATAAAATATTGATACTTTCTCAACGATATTTTATCTTAAGTTCTACGCTTGATTTGCACAAGAAATTGTTCACGACAGGTTTCAAGAAATTTTACTTTTTCAAGATGATTGTTTTCAATTTTCCACAACCCACAATAAGGAATTAATGAAAACAAACTATATTTATTTTAACTACTAATTAATATTGTAAAGAAAAATGAATCTTAGAGCCAGTTTCGCCAACTTCCGATTAAAAGTTAATCAATGATTAAAGACAATTTAAAGGCTTCTGATTGGTTAATTGAGGATTTAATCATTGATTAACTTTTAATCGGTGTTGGTGAAATCGGCCCTTAAAATATTAAATAAAAATCGGCTTTTTTTAAAAAAAAAGAAATAGTCATCTTGAATTTTACGCTCAGTTAGCGTAAGGAACTGTCAACAGTTTTGAAAAATAAAAAGAATTTCAAGAGACATTACATACTTGGTTTTAAATAACTTATAACAAAATAACGAATACAAATAAGCTATTAATTAGAAGACTAGATCTCAAGTGATTATTCAGAATTTTTTAAGTAATTGGCACATATGTACTTATAGCTCGCAGCTATCCAATTACTTTAACATCAATGTCTTAAATAATCAAATTTCCGAAAAATAAAATAAAATCATCTCAATTTTGTAACAATTTGTAGGGCGGATTTCAAAGAGTCTTCTTTTCTAACAAGTTAGTGACTTAAATTGCTTTTCCTCATCTGGGAACAAAGATTTCAAAAACTTAAAATAATTAATAGTTTATGAAAAACACGAAACACAATATATACGGAGATAAAAAAAAAGAAATTTTAGATTCAAGACGAGTGCTGAACGAATACTGCGGAAATAGATATTTATGTACTTAACAAAAATCTAATTTTTTCGCTTGAGAGCTTCTACCGCGTCACGGAAAATTTCCAAAAAGTGCCTCTCTGCTGGGTTGTTTCTTGATGTCTTGCACTTGCTTCTCTTCTTGCTTCTTGCATTTCCTCCAAAATTACGTCTTGTTTACTTTTTTTTACTGATCTTTTTTTTTTATCCACTTCACCTTCTTCTTGGATGTCATCCATTATTCGCTTTTTATAGCCTTGCAAACTGGAAGCTTCGGCAGGTGGCTTAATTTCGGGCTTCTGATACAAAATTTCATGCATAGCATCAAAATAAGGCCAAGTAATTGGTTGCTCTCCGGTCTTCTCCTTTTTTTTTAAATTTTTTTTATAAAGCGAATTCAATAGTTTCCATTTGGAATTGCATTGTTCTGCAGAAACTTTGTATCCTTTTGTATTTAAACATTCTGCCACTTCTTTAAAAAGATTTTTGGTGGTTATATTCTTTTTTACTTTTTTTATATTCGTATAAGTCGTTATAAGGAAAAGAGTCATGTTTGACGACCATCTAATAGGGTTTTTTTCTACAAAAAGTAAAAAAGGATTAATAAAATTAAAATGGATATTTGAAAAATTTATTTAATTAGAAGTTTCAAAAATTTAGGTCGAAAAATTCTTAACGTTTAAAGTAGAGATGCACGTCGATCACATTGAGCGAGAATTGACAGTATTTGTTAAAGTTTCTCGTTTGTTAAATTCATTATATCGTCTTACTTCATTCTCGTGAATCAAGCTACAAAGAAAACGAGATGCTCATATATGATGTATATATATATGTATATAGACGATCATAATCGAAAGCTTTAATTTATATCAAAACAATTGAATCGTAAATTTCGAAATGAGCTCAACACGGTTTTTTGAAATTTTACAGGAGACATAAAAAACTGTTTATTTCAAACAGCTTTGATTAAAAGAGTCCAGCTTTTTTTCTAGTAACTACATGATATTTTATATGAGAAAATGTTAAAAGAATTATCGTTAATAACAGTGAATTGGATAAAATTGATATTATAATTGTCAGAGTTGAGCTCTTTTCGAAATTCATGAAAAAAATGTAATCATTTTAATCATAAAAATATATTAATAAAATTTTTATTATTTAGTTATTTAATTATTTAATTAATTAATTAATTAATTAATTAACTAATTAATTAGTTTATTAATTCATAGTTGCCACACAACCTGGAAAACCTGGAAATAGCATGAAATTTGAACAAATTTCTGGAATTTTTTTTTGGTTAATGAAAGATATTAAGAAAAATTCCATTCAACATGTTATTTTTCTTTAAAAATGTAAACATACAATTTTCTTTTTCCATGTTATCTTCTCTTTAAATTAATTTAATTTTTCTTTTTAATTATTGACTAAAACTGTGAAAAATGTTGTTAATATTGTTCTAAAAAAAGGAATTCATATCTTTATTAGTATTACGATTGTCAAAATTTTTTGTTACTAGTTGCTTTTTGTTCAAGATTTTGAACAAAATTTAAAGATTAAAATTATTTAATTTAGACATGACTTGAATGTTATATTCATATGACTGATTCTTCTGAAAGTGACATTTTTGATGTCTCGATTAATTTTATAAAATCTACTTTCTAATAATATTATTAACCATTTTCATTGTAAAAATTTAGCACTTAATTATCATTAGAAAAATTAAACAATTTTATTCAACTGAATTTATGCAATAGCTAAAATAATTTCAGCTAAACTAAATTTTTATGGTTTTTTTAAAACTCTTAGAAATTTTTTAAAAATAGTGCCAGAAAATACAATGTTTTTTCTATCATTATGTGCATTTTAAAAATTTTTGAACCTCTGTTTTTTATGTGATAAAAATGTTTAAATTTTGTCTTCCATTTAAGTTAAAATTACTTCAGGAATATTATTGCTTTTATAAATATTCAAATTTTACATATCGGCCTGAGTAAAATTCAAAGAAGAAAGACTTTAATATTTTCAAATTAATTTTGCGCAACTTAAATTCTTACTCTTGAGTATGAAATAAAATAGTTTCAATAGAAAATACCATATAATTTAAAAAAAATAAATTGGAAAATCGAATATCAAAAGTAGCACTTTCAGAGAAATCACCCTCAAATAGGTAAGTATGTATTATTGTCTCACTTTGACATAAAAATACCTGTGATTTTAACTGTATAAGGGAACATTAATTTATAACTACATAATAATGAATATTGTTAACACTCTTTGTAAAATACTTGTTTTTTCATCACAAATAATTCCTAAATTTTAACCTGGAATTTTTAATATTTTTGACCTGGAAAACCTGGAAAAAGCCTGGAATTTTGAAGTTTGAATTTATTTAATTTAATTAAAAATTATTATTTAATTAATGAAATGAAATTATTACTAATGAAAAACAATTTATTTATTTATTTAATTTTGAAATGTATTAAATTTTTTTAATTCAAAAACAATTAAGCATTAAAATAGAAAACAAACAATCTTAGGTTTAAAAGTAAAAGGAAAACACTTTAATACATTTTTCTGAACTTAAAGTACCTCAGATGAAATTTTACTTTTATGAAAACGTCAATGAAAAATATCCAAGTTGAGCCCTTTTCGAAAGTCATGATTCAATTTAAATAACCATAAATGAACTAATACTTTTATTAAATATTTAAGATTAAAAAATAATATCAAGAAATGAAATTGCTTTCGAAAATTAGTATGTAATAGTTTAATGTTTAATTTTATTATATTTTTACTATTTTTACTTTTGTTGTCAAAATTTTAAAAACTGGAAATAAAAAATAATTAAGCAAGTTCGACTTATTGATTAATTTTAGTTTTTTGTGGAGTTTTCAAATAATTTAATAATATTAAAATTCGAAAATATAATATAATTATTAACAATTTATAATTTTAAAAAAGCAGAATTGTGTTTTAAATAATTTTGTTTATTTCAGAGGTTTTATTTAACTTTACAGGACACTGATAGTTTATTGAAACTATCAGTTTATTGAAAAAATAATTAAATGATAAATTTAAAATAATCTAATCAAAGAATGTGATTAGTACTAAATGTGATTAATTTTCAAACATAAAGTTTCATTTGTCAATTTTCGATTTGATTTTTTTCGTTAAAGAGCAATTGACCCAAGAGTTTAGGCACATCAATGATGTAATGGACTTATCATTTAATTTGTTCCTGTGTTTTCTAATAGTAAGAGAACTTCTAGAAAATAATCGTTCTGATGGAACAGATGTGGCTGAAATAGCCAAGAAGTCTCGTGCCATGCGTGCAAGATCAGGATACTGATTTTGGTGTTCTTTCCACCAGTTTAAAACATTTGTTGTCGCGACGGATCGTTCTTCGGCTAAATATAAATTTATTTCTCGTTCCCAATAATTTTCAACTGAAGTTGACGGAGAGTCGCTTTTTTTGTATAAGGCAAATAAACTGATTTCTTCGTCTTCATCTTCCGACAAGTATTCCACGTTTTGAGCTTGGTTTACAATTTCCTACATACAATTAAAAATATATCAGAGAATTTCAATATATATTATTATAATTTTTTTCTAGAAATATAGTAATAATTGAATTAAAATGTGTTTATAAAATTATATGAGAATATTCAATATCACCAGTTATTTAAAATCTCAATTTGAGACAAATAATAGGATTAAAACGTTGCAGTGCAACATTTTTGATACTTTATTGTTTTTATTCAAGATTACTGAAAAAACTGTATATAAAAAGATTGGCTTAAAATAATAAACTTTATCATTCTTCAAAGTGTATGTTTACAAAAAAGGATTATTATTATTATTCTATTAAATAGAAAAAAAGTATTTTTTTCCATTTTGCTTCATTAAATCAATTTTCATTCCATATTTTCATTTAATAAATTAATTAATATTTAAAATAAATAATAAATAATAAATAATAAATAATAAATAATAAATAATAAATAATAAATAATAAATAATAAATAATAAATAATAAATAATAAATAATAAATAATAAATAATAAATAATAAATAATAAATAATAAATAATAAATAATAAATAATAAATAATAAATAATAAATAATAAATAATAAATAATAAATAATAAATAATAAATAATAAATAATAAATGATAAATAATAAATAATAAAAATGGATTAATAATAATTTTTTAAATTAATGAATTATAATTAATAAATTTATTGTTTTATCTATTAATTTTTATCTATTTTGCTTGAATAATTTTGTTAACTAATTAAAATTCTAAGAACTACCTTTTCAATAGGTTTTGATTTTCCATAATATTCGCTTTTAAATATTGTTTTAAATTTGTTTAACGATGCTGCTTTCATTTCTCGTCCCCATGGTGTCATGTCAAAAGTCTCCACTTTGAATCTCGGATCAAGGATCAATACAACGCAATAAATCCAATTACTTTTACTGTAATGTTCCGACAATTTTGCTAATCCTGTTTGCAAAGCTAAATATATGTTGTCTTCGATTGGGCTTCTTAGTTTTTCCTGCAATTTTCCTATCGATTCTTCCATTTTATCTAAAAGCATGTTGAATCCCAAGACTATCAAGTTCAAAGTAGGATAGTCTTCTCCGCTGAAAGCTTCGGACAGTATTTTGAAATGACGCAGATATTTGTGAATTTCTTGTAGAAGGGTCCATTCATTTTCAGAAATCATCAATTTTTTCAGAGAAGAATTATTTTGACAAAGCATAATTATTGGTGACTGCATACGAATTCCTAAGAAAATCATGTCGCATGTAGAATTCCAGCGAGTTGAAACGTCGATATTCGGTGATAACATTTTAATTTCACACACATCGCAACAGGTTTTGAATTTGATTCTCCATTGCTCTGAGTTTTTCAAGATTTTAAATAAATTTCTTAACTTAGTAAGTGGCGATGTACACTGAGTATTCTCTTCAATATTTTCTAACATTTCCCTCGCTTCATCTTCACCATCTCTTACTTCTGTGTCATCTTCAGCTCCTTCATGTCTGTCATCCAAATTATCTTCGTCGTAAATATTGTCGAGGCCTAATATTTTTAACATGTGTTGCACTGCAATATTCAAAACATGCGCATAACATTGAAAATGTTGATTTGCGTAATCGAATTTCATTAAAAGAGATAAATCTTTCATAAATCGAAAATTAGCTTTGGTGTTATCGACAGTTATTCCCAAGACTTTAGGTGTAATTTTAAACTCTTCGACAGTATCATAAAAACATCTGGCGATGTCTTTGCCCGCATGTCTTCCATGAGAAGCAACAAAATCTACCACAAGAGAATGTAACTCCCAGTTATCATCTATAAAATGACCGGTAATGCCATTGTAGCTTCGATGAGCAATTGAAGACCATCCGTCTAGTGTAAACGATATCTTGGAGGAATTTGTTTGTAAAATGTTTGAAACAACAGCTTTCATTTTGTCGAATCTAGCTATAACTAATTCTTTCATTTTTCTACGCAATGGAACTTCAGCGATTGGGTTGAGATAGGCGAATAGATCTTGAGTACATTTATCATCGAAGAATCTGAGAGATAAATATTTCCCCGCTAACCAGTCAACTACCATATTCTCAAATATTTCTTGCTGAAAAATCTATAAACAATTTTAATAGTTTTAAATCCTATTTTTAGAAAAAATATCATTTTTCTAATAAATTATTAAATTTTCTTAATTAAATGATACAAAAATTCTATTAAAGAACCTTTTTCATAATTTTTTTGAACTTCTAAAATTAAAAACTTATTATAAAATAACAACGTTAAAAGAAAAATGATTTAAAAAATACAATTGTTTAGAATTACTGATGTAGTTGTTGATGGATACGTTTGTTTAAATTCGATAGGATGTTCTTTTTGTAAGTGACGTTTGATTCCGGTTGTGTTACCACCAGTCATTTTAATGTTCTTAATCTCAGAAGGATTTTTTGAGAGGCAGAGTTTACATTTGCCCCACTTTATATTACTTTGATCGAAGGAAAATTCAAAAGAATCATAAAGAGGTTTTCCATCATGTTTTCTGCGTTTTGGTTTAAAGGTATCTTCTGGATTCTCGCTAATTAAAAATAAAAAATTGTAACTTGATTATGAATTTCTCAATTTAGTATGACAATCAAAGATTAAACGGATAAATTAATTTTTAATGAATTACATAATTTTAATTCATATTAAATTAATTAATTAATTAATTAATTAATTAAAAATTAATAACTATATTCAAGAGTTCAATTTAATGAAAAAATTTTCTTTAATGTTATTGTTGTTATAGGTTAATCCATTAAAATTTACTTTTTACTTTACAATATTTCAAATTTTTGCAAAGTTTTTTATTTATTTTTGTAAATCAATTTCTATATCATGAAAATATTAAATTAATAATAAACATACTGAAAAAATAATAATAAATAAAAGCTATATAATATTCACTTATAATTGAAAAAATAAAGAAAAATTATTTGTAAATTTAAAACATATTTATAATTTTATAAAAAAATTTTAAATACTTTGAACAATTCCGTCTATTTTGTTCTTCATTTTGATCTATTTCCATTTTCCTAAAATTAATTTTTTCTCCAAATAAACTTTCTCCTTTCAAAAAAGAAACAATTATTTTAACCTGTTTTAACCTTTGACTTTAGCGAGCAAACTGAAATTGGCGATATAAAAAACTCGATAATAACAAATGAAAATATAATTTTCTCGGTATCTAAGTTGATTGTTTACGAGATTTAATTCAACGAGACAAACGATCATCTCGGATCGACGTGCATCTCTAGTTTAAAGAGTTTTTATGCTAATATCCAAAAACCGGAACATAATAAAAAAATAAGAAAAAATCTTATGGTGCCATGGAAAATAAAAATAAAGTAAAATTTTATTTATACAAAATAATGCAGTCCGGTCCTAATTCGGAAAATCAAAATTTCAGATGATAGAAATTAAAAGTGATTTAATATCATAATACAATTAAAAGATAATTTCAATTGAATAATTCAATTTTGCCATTTTTTACAATAAGTAAATAATATATATATATATATATAAAATAAATATACCATATTCACTTTTTCGCTATTAAGCTTTGCAAATAAAAATAAATACAACCTAATCCAGTATGAATAATTTCAACAGTTTTTTGCACCGATCAAGATGAAAAAATTAAGTTTTATATAAGAGATACGTGTAAAAGTTGGATAAAATGATATACGATTTAAGAAAAGAAAGACTTATGAAAATAAAAGTTCAGGCAATTGATATTTTACTACAAACACAAATTTTTCAGAACACATTTAACATTTTCAAAAAAAATCGTGTTCATAAAAAATGTTTCGATGTATTTATATTAATTAAATGTGCGTACTTGGATCCAAATTCTCATCCTCTTCGACAACTTTTTCCTCATCATCCTCGTGATCGTCTTCATCATATTGAACTGCCATACTTTCATCCAAATCCTCCTCACCATCTCTCAATTCTCCTTCATAATATTGATAAGCAGTTGAATTTGACGCTTCTCCTTCATTTTCGACTAAAAATTTAATTAATTATAGAAAATCATTATTTTTAATTTAAACAATATAAAAATAATCACATGTTGTAGTTAACTTTCGAAAATCATTTTTATGTACGCGGATGAAAAGAACCAACCCAAGGAAGGTAACAAACTTCTGTTTATAACATTTTCCAACATTTGGAAAACTTTTTCCCGTGACTAGAAATTCCAATAAAGTAAACGAAAACAGGCTATAGCTATTTTAACAGTAATAAATTGATCTACCCTGGGTGGGATCTAACCCGTAAGGGTGAAAATTGTCGCTAACAATAACAAAAATTTCTTCTTACTTGATAATAAGTTAACTTGATCAGGTGCGATGTATTGAACTGATTCCGTCCCTAGAAAAATTTATTAAAAAATTTTTAATTAAAATTTATTTATGCGATGAATTAGGAAAAGTAGTTTACGCAAAAACAAAAAAAATTTCTTAGATTTTTTAAAACGTATTTTATAAAAATTGATTTTTCTAATGAAGATAATTTTGAAAAGTTTGTTTTCTATCATAACTATTTCAGACAGAATGTAGACTTGTTCCCTGACCCTAAAGAATATTTATACATAGAATAAATAGAATTTATTTAAATTTTTTATTTGAAACTATTTTACATAATTTAAATTCAATATTATTTCTAAAAATTAACGCAATAATGCTTTCAATATTAAATTATTATTTCAAATTTTAAATTCATTTACGAAAAATTTCATTACTTTGTTAATTTGAATCATTAAAAATCGTGGTTTTGGTAACTGCCAACCAGTGACTGATTTTTTGCTTCTGAGTCAGTTAAAAATAACTGATCTTCAGTGAAAAAATAACTAATTTTCAGTAAAAAAAAACTGAAAAAATAGTTAAACTTGATTAATTAAAGCAGTCAAAAAAAATTTACTGAAATTTTAGTTATTTTTAAAACTGACAATCAGTTATTTTTAACTAATTGTCAGTAGAAATATTACTATTTGAATTAGTGACTGACTTTTTGCTTCTAAATCAGTTATTATTAACTGATTCAAATTTAGAGAGTAACAACTTTTGAAAATAATTATTTTCTTTTAAGGAGATTAATTAAAATTTTACTGACATTTATTATATTGAAGAATTTTATAAAATTGTAATAATTAACTGAAACTTTGGCAACAATGTAATTAAAATTTCTGAAAATAATTGAATTTCTTCGAAGAATTTTAATATTTTTGAAAATAATTGAATTCTTCTGATGAATTTTGTTGTTTATTAAAATAACCGAATTCTGGAAAGGATATTTATTAAAATTCCTAAAAATAAATTATTTTCAGTAAATAATTTTAATACTTATCAAGATAATTGCGATAAAACTTTCGAAATATTTGAATAATAATAAAAATTAATTCTTGTCAGAAATAGAAAAAATGTTTAAGGTTTTCTACATATTAGAATCCGCCGTAGTAGTTTCATAATTTATGAGGCAAACAAAAAAGACACCAAAAAATCAGAATTTTCTTATGAATTCTAACAATTAAATTCTTTCTAGTACTTTTCATAAAAATCCCGAATATTTTCCTGCCCAATTCTAATTTTCCTTACGTTTTTCTAGTTTTCCTAGTTAAAAATCATAATTAACAAACAGAAAATGTAGGGATTTCTTCCTAAAGATATTTAAAATTTTCTAAAAAAAAGTTTTATAGATTAATTAATTTTGTAAATTTGGTATAAAAAACGATGCAAATTATTATTTTTTTCAAAGAACAGAATTTTTTAAAAATCGTGGTATTAATTTTATTGAATTATTTCTACTTTTCCAAAAAGAAGCTTTTAATTATGTAAACAAAATTGTAAACACTTAAGTATTCTTAAAAAGCTAAATATACTTACCGTCACTTCGAAGTAAGTTGTATAAAATGTAGTGGTCCTCCGGACGCACAATTAAATTTCCCGTATCGGGATCGACTACTGCGTTGATAATTCGCTTTTCACTCATTTTTTTTATTTTCTTTTTAATAGGATAAACGGTGACTTTAAATTATAAATTAAAACGTGCTGTGCAAGTGTAACTGTCCAAATGGTAAATGACCTAACCTACGTGATAAAAAAGGTTAAGCTTCATACACACGTTTCAATTTGCAAGTTTTCAAAATAATCGACAAAAACGATCTGAGCACCACTGGAGTAATCCAGATTGTAAACCGTTTATCTTCCGAAAACACCCATTGTACCACTCATCTAACTGGGTTGTCAACAAAATTTCACTTGTTTTCGCGATAAATGTTTTTAATTCTGATTGATCCTCTTTCCCATTCATTAAATCTTTCTTAAATTTCGCCCCCAACACGGTATATACTTTCAACGGACCATACTTGTTTAAAGCTTTTTCAATATTAAATTTAAATAAAGCACATGCATCATCAAGGAACTCATTAATATCTATGTAATCTATATTCATTATCCCACTAGTTTGCAATCGACTATCAAATGCTTCATCGAAATTAACCCATTTCATTCTTTCGTTAGTCATTTGTACACCCGCACCACGTTTCATTATTGCATCAAAGTGGCAAAACAAGTATTCCAATTTCTGGATCAAATTCAAACACCTTGATTTTTGAGAGGTTGTAAAATCAGATTTTTTAAAAAAATTTCTAAATATATTTTTAAACTTCTGACACTTGTTTTGCCATTCATTTGCTGTAATGCATTTCTCATCACCAGACATGGACATTGTGGTAATGAGCTGATTTTCCGCGATTTTAATGAAGTTGTCACTTTCTTGACAAACTTCATTGTACTCGTCAATCTTAATTTTTGATCGCGATTTTTTCGGTGATTTAACCTTTGGCATCTTAGAAGTTAAGTCTAAAGAATTCCTGAAACAAATCTAATTCCTGAAACAAATAAAAAAAACTCTGAAACAAAAATTTAAAAAAAACTCCTGAAACAAATTTTTAAAAAAATCCTGAAACAAATCAAAAAAAAATTCTGAAACAAATCAAAAAAAAATTCTGAAACAAATCGAAAAAAATCCTGAAACAAATCAAAAAAATATTCCTGAAACAAAACTAAAAAAAATTCTGAAACAAAACTAAAAAAAATTCTGAAACAAATCAAAAAAGCACAACTTAAACAAAGAAAACAAACTCTGAAAATATATCTGGAGATACTCTGTAAACTGTTAGTTGCATCTGAAAAGATGCTACTGATGATTGTGGCTCGCGCTCTCGAACTTATACACTGGTCCCCACCATACCTGACACCCCACTACGACGCGCCCCACTACTCCATAGTCGCGCGCAACACTACTCCTACCTCATCACATCGTATAGTAAGCGCCGGCTGCCGCGACAACTTGGAAGTTCTCATAGGTCTTGCAGTCGGTATCCTAGAACACTGGCGCACATAGTGAGTTAGAAATCTACATTACCATCAGTCGGTCAATTACCGACTTTTTTATAGGAATCTATTACAAAGGTCGATATAGTAGAACATCTAAAATACCCCCATACCAATGCGACTTTAAGTTAATTAATAAAAAAATTCAAATATCCCGCCAAGCGGTTTTAAACTAAGCAAAAATAAAGTGGCGCCATCTATAGGAGGCAGCCGCAACTAAGTTCAGTCGGTAATTTTGGCGGGATATTCAAAATACCCCTACCAAGCGACTTTAAATTAAATAAAAATTCAAATTTCCCGCCAAGCGTTTTAAAATTCAGAAAAATAAAGTGGCGCCATCTGTCGGAGGCAGCCGTAATTCGAATGATCGGTAAAGTAGAACACCCCTTCTAACGCAGTTGAAAATTCGAAAATAAAAATTCAAATTTCCCTCCAAGGGGTTTGAAATTGTGCAAAAATAAAGTGGTGCCATCTAGCGGTGGCCGCCGCAACTAAACTCGGTCGGTAAAACAGAACATCCCTTCTAACGCAGTTGAAAGTATACTATTTATGGTAATGTAGGAATCTGCATTACCGACCTCGGTCGGTAATTGCGCCAGGACCCGCCTAGTAACACTACTAATTTCTCTTCAAGTCTAAAAAATATTATACGATTAATAAGTAAATTACAAAATATTTTCTTTTATTTTTATTAGATTATTTTAAGGGAGTATTCTGGTCTATAGGCCTCAATGTCAGTCGTTTTTCCAAGTAGAATAAAAAAGAAAGTTTAACATTTTTAGTATTTACTTTTCTTGCAAGTTGTTTATTAATGTTTAAAGAGTACAGAAAAAAATTAGAAAACAATTCTTGATTATTAAAGGCTTCGCTATGGTCGGTACCTTGGAAAAGAAAAAAGAAAATTTTTTAGCAAAATGTCGACGATTTAAAAAAAAATTGTGTTTTTTGATTCTGTTTTTTTAATTTTTTGGAATTTTTTAAAAATAGTAAAAAAAAATATTTTTCAAAATCCAAGGTTTCGACCATAAAGAGATATACAAAGAACATTTCTGCAAAATTTAAAGTAAATCAATTAAGTAGATTTTGAGTTATCGTGTCAACAAGAATTTTTTTCAATTCCTACTTCACCAGTTCATAACTTTTAAAATTTTTTATTATTTTTTTTCCTAATTTTTTTCTGTATTCTTTAAACATTAATAAACAACTTGCAAAAAAAGTAAACAGTAAAAATGTTAAACTTTCTTTTTTATCCCACTCGGAAAAACGCCTTAAAATTGAGGCCTCTAGCCGTGTGAATAAAAATTTTACGACTTTAGAAATACAAGACAGAATAAGTTAGAAAAAATATCAGATTATTAAAATCATATAATTTTATTCTATGTAAGAAAATCGAGGAAAACTCTAAACAAATCATTTTAAAAATATTAACATTTTTTTACACTGTAAAATTTAGTAAATGGTAACTTCTATGTATTTTAACCTTATGCAAGCGATTTAAAAGAATAAGTGACACATTTAAAAAAAGGTACCTAAGAAGAAAATATTTTTAAGGTTGTTTGTGTTATTTTTACTGTAATTAAAAGTTTTTTATTTGTGTAAAACTAGAATCAGTTTTTAATAACTATTTTAAATGTAATCCAGATTAAAAAATGAGTGGTTTATATTGTGAATTGATCTCTTTTGTATATTTTAATTTAAAATTTGGTAAACATAACCAGGGTGGCCACAAGTTTCAGTTTATCAATTTCCCTGTCAATTTACTGACATTAAAATTACTTTTCCTGACAAAATTCTTTTTACAGATTAATATAAATGTTTACGTAAAATGGGTAAAATTTATAAATTTTAATAATTTCTTAAAATTACAATTATAATCCTTCCTGAATTTAATTATTTTTTACAATTTTCAACTAAACTTCATCTCTGAATCAATTAATTGTAATAATTTCCCAAAAGTTCTTCTAGAATTCAATTATTTAAATACGCAACTCAATTTTTTGTAATAATTGTAATTATGTAAATATAATAGTATTTTATTAAAAAAAATTTCCAAACAATTAAAATTTGTTAAAATCTTTTAAAACGAATTGGATTTTTGAAAAATATAAATAAAAATGATCAATTTTCAAAAATTTTAATAAGTCCAAAAAGTAAATTTTCATAAATTTTTATTTGCATTTGTGGAAGATAATTTAATCTTAAGAAATTATTATTAAAAAAAGTCTAATAATTAGTTTTTAAAAATATTTTAATGTAATTTTAGAAAATAATCGAATTTCTTAAAAAAAATTTGTATAATTTAAAAAAACTAATTACTTTTTTTGTAGGGTAATGTCACATTGAGTGGACCACCTGAGTTTTTAAGTTATCTGACAGCGGAAACGTGAAATAAATAAAACGAATAGCAGCACCGCACCTAGAAACAGTAAGAATTTATGTTCCGCGATAATCATACACGTTATTGTTTGATGTAACGCATTTTTAAGAACACAAACCAAAAAAGAAGTCGCTCTTACAATGAGTAAAGTGATTCGGAAGTGTAAAAGTAGTGTAAAATTTAAGTTTTAAAAGGTAACTTATTTTTTTCCTACTACTTTGGACATTGAAATTGATTGTCTTAGTTTAATTAAGTGATAATTTTGACTCAAAAAAAAATTTCGGTGTCTGCCATAAAAAGTTGCATGTCACCATGAGTGGACCACTGTTTATAACCATGACTGGACTGCCTGTTTTTTATATTTTTAATGTCAGTTTACCATTTTTATGGAAATAAATTGACAATAAATTGGTTTGAAACTGTTTTATATTCTTTATTAATTTTTTTGTGATTTTGATGTGATATGTGCCAAAATTATTGAAAATGGTTTCACTTGTAAACATTGCGATACAAACATGGTCTGAAGCTGCATAAGCATAAATTTTGTTTCAATATATCAGAAATATTAAATACATTAAAGAATTTAGAATAACTTTTACAATTTTTTAAGAGTGGTCCACTCAAGGTTACACTTTTTTCATTCCTTAAAAATGAGCTATTTTTTTAAAGTCAATTGTTTTTCCCAAATAAAAAAAATCAATGCTATTATATTAAAAAACAGCGTTCTAATGTAGTTTCCCCCCTTAAGACTTTCCTTGTTGTACGATGTACATAAAAATAACTATTTTATAGGTTTTAAAGAGAAAATGAAAAACTGATTGCCTGGGTGATAAAATTGAAACAAATAACATGGAAGACGATGAGAACTATACAAATGGAGATGAAGTAAGATATAATTTTCTTTAAGCATTTTGCCAGGGTGATAGAATTAAGTTATTATATAAATTCAGTCAAAAATGATTCAAATACTTATATTTAAAGAAATACAAATAACTGTCAATTATACAATTATAATTAATTATAAATTAATTAATTAAATTTATTAATTCAATTATAATTATTATTATAAATAATAATTAAATCAAATAAAATTTAGTAACTAATGAAAAAAATGTTTTGTGTATCAAACTAAGTTTTGAATAAACTTTTACGTCCGAGTTGATTAATAAAATCAAATTAAATAATAAAATTTAAAAAATATATAATAAAAAATAAAAACTAATCAAAAAATTAAATAAAAATTGTAGTAAAGGAAATAAAAAAAATTAAAAATTAAATTACGAAA